ACACACACACACACACACACACACACACACACACACACACACACACACACACACACACACACACACACACACACACACACACACACACACACACACACACCACACTCTGTATCACATCATTTAAACTGTGCCCTCCCTCTCTCAGGCTCAGTATGAGAACCCCCCACACATCTACGCGCTTGCTGACAACGTGTACAGGAACATGATGATTGACAGCGAGAACCAGTGTGTCATCATCAGGTAGGCGGGACTCACCTAACAGACCTATGCCCCGCCCATTCACTAGCTCTTAAGAAAACAGTTTAGTTTAGTTTAGTCGTGTTTTTATTAAGCAGCTGGTGTTTGTACTTTTATTCATTACATGTTTTTTATGTATTGAGCCTGAGTTATCTGTTTCCTATGTTTGGCTTCCTGTTTCCTGTTGCATCTTTGCTTCTTCTTGTCAGCGGTGAGAGTGGAGCTGGAAAAACTGTTGCTGCCAAGTACATCATGAGCTATGTGTCCAAAGTGTCCGGAGGAGGCGACAAAGTCCAGGTCAGTCCTCCCAGTACTGCTCCTGGTCATTTTTCCTGTAGAACTTCCTATAGTGCATCCAGAATTACTTCCTGACGTACTTCCTTTAGTGCATCCGGAATTACTTCCTGACGTACTTCCTTTAGTGCATCCGGAATTACTTCCTGACGTACTTCCTTTAGTACATCCGGAATTACTTCCTGACGTACTTCCTTTAGTGCATCCGGAATTACTTCCTGACATACTTCCTGCAGTACTTCCTGCAGTGCTTCCAGAAGTACTTCCTGTAGAACTTCCTGCAGTACTTCCTGTAGTACTTCCAGAAGTACTTCCTGTAGAACTTCCTGCAGTACTTCCTGTAGTGCTTCCAGAAGTACTCCCTGTAGAACTTCCTGAAGTACTTCCTGTATAACTTCCTATAGTGCATCTAGAAATACTTCCTGTAGTACTTCCTGATGTACTTCCTGTAGTGCATCCAGAAATACTTCCTGTAGTGCTTCCTGTTGTGCTTCCTGACATACTTCCTGATGTACTTCCTGTAGTACTGCCTGTAGTGCTTGCAGACGTACTTCCTGTAGTGCATCCAGAAATACTTCCTGTAGTACTTCCTGTATGGACGTGGTCGTAGTGACATCCCTCATTGGTTACTGAAGAGAAGTTATGAAGCCATGTTGAAAGTACTGACTCCAACTTATTTCAAGCTAAGTGCAGAAAAAACAGAGCTGAGGCGTGATTTATGATAATCCTTACTTTACCAATAAATAAACAAGCTATGGAGACTGTAAACATGTTTATTTCTACTATAACAAAGAAGTGAAACTAATGGGGATTGACTCACTTTTGGAGACATCCTCAAGTGGACCCCCGAGGAACTGCAGTTTTTTGACACTTTTGCATTGGCTTAATTTTTCATCCTGTGTGTGTGTGTGTGTGTGTTGTGTGGTGTGTGTGTGTGTGTGTGTGTGTGTGTGTGTGTGTGTGTGTGTGTGTGTGTGTGTGTGTGTGTGTGTGTGTGTGTGTGTGTGTGTGTGTGTGTGTGTGTGTGTGTGTGTGTGTGTGTGTGTGTGTGTAGCATGTTAAAGACATCATATTGCAGTCCAATCCCCTGCTGGAGGCCTTCGGTAACGCCAAGACAGTCCGCAACAACAACTCCAGCAGATTTGTGAGTATAAATACATCCAGAAGTTGATAGAAGCTTTCTACTTATTAACATACAATGTAACCCCCCCCCCCCCCCCCCCCAGGGTAAATACTTTGAGATCCAGTTCGGTCGTGGAGGGCTCCTGATGGAGGGAAAATTTCAAACTTCCTGTTGGAGAAAAGTCGAGTCATCTCACAGAATCCTGGAGAGAGAAACTTCCACATCTACTACCAGGTACGACAACATACATACAAGTACTGCAACACGTACTAAAAGTACTTCCAGTTATCCTACAGTTGGACCTCATAATCACTTTCTGATTCTGTTTCTTGTTCAGAAACTCAAAAACAAGAAGTTGTTGTCGTTAACTTTACCTTGAGCTTTCTGTGACCTTTGACCTCTGTGTGATCTCTGCCCTCAGCTTTTGGAGGGGGCTACTAGTGAGCAGAGGGAGAACCTCGGGGTGACAACCCCTGACTATTACTTCTACCTGAACCAATCAGGAACGTACACGGTGGAGGATGTCAATGACAAGAAAGAGTTCTCTGATACCATGGTCTGTACCTGTCTGTCTGTCTGCCTGTCTGCCTGTCTGTCTCTCTTACTGTCTGTCTGTCTGTCTGTCTGTCTGTCTCTCTTACTGTCTGTCTGTCTGCCTGTCTGTCTGTCTCTCTTACTGTCTGTCTGTCTGCCTGTCTGTCTCTCTTACTGTCTGTCTGTCTCTCTTACTGTCTGTCTGTCTCTTACTGTCTGTCTGTCTGCCTGTCTGTCTCTCTTACTGTCTGTCTGTCTCTCTTACTGTCTGTCTGTCTGCCTGTCTGTCTCTCTTACTGTCTGTCTGTCTCTCTTACTGTCTGTCTGTCTGTCTGTCTGTCTCTCTTACTGTCTGTCTGTCTCTCTTACTGTCTGTCTGTCTGTCTGTCTGTCTGTCTCTCTTACTGTCTGTCTGTCTGCCTGTCTGTCTCTCTTACTGTCTGTCTGTCTCTCTTACTGTCTGCCTGTCTGTCTCTCTTACTGTCTGTCTGTCTGTCTGTCTGTCTGTCAGGAGGCCATGTCAGTAGTGGGTCTCTCTATGGACGATCAGGATGCAGTTCTTCAGCTGGTTGCAGGAATTCTTCATTTAGGAAACATCAGCTTCAGAGAGGAGAACAACTACGCTGTGGTGGAGAGCCAGGACTGTGAGAACACACTACACACCATATACTACAACATATACACGATAAACTGTATACACACGTATACTACAATACATTACACCTCCACCTGTGCCAGTGGGCACGCCACAAAGTCGTCAGCTGGGAGCAACCCTTCAGAGATGCTTCGCCCCTCACGTCTGGCCATAGAGCAGTTGAGGCTATTTCAGATGATGGTCCACATCAACACTCATTCGCATCCAAATGTCAGTACGGACCGCAACCTCTAAATGATGTAGTCCGCCTCAGCTCCTTGCCTGATGAAGTCCTTCTTGGTATGGAGGATGATTGGTTGTTTCTGTTGGCATGGTGATCAGCTGACCCTCTGGGGGGCTTTGATCTATCTTCACTAGGCCTTCCTGAGAGTTATGTCATGATAGTGTGAGCCACATGCTTGTCTCAGAGATCTGCAGTGTTTAGCTTCCAAGACATTGCACTGGCTGCTCTGCCAGCAGAGGAGGGGATGTTATCAGTCCTGGATCCTTTCCTGATTGACAGGCTTCAGGACTTCATGTAGCTCTTAAGGGCTTAAAGATGCTGTCCTGATTCAGATCTCAGTCCTCTGAACTGCGCCGATCAGGAGGATTTCAAAGGCTGCTGTGAACCAAGGCTCGAGCTGCTGCCAGTCAAGTGTGATATTTTCACACAATATATGCTACACACTACAAACTACCCTACATAAACTACACTACAATATACACACTGTATAAACTCCAGAAAGACTAAAGCAGGAGAACCAGGACTGTGAGGAAACACACTATATTTACACTGTAGACTACCATACACCTGAACAGTCTGTAATGTGACTCTGTGTTTGGTTCCTGGGGGGGTAGTCCTGGCTTTCCCAGCCTTCCTGTTGGGGATCCCTCAGGACGGCCTCTGCAGTAAGCTGACCAGCAGGACCATGGACAGTAAGTGGGGCGGAAAGACCGAGTCCATCTCTGTGACCCTGAACACTGAGCAGGCCAGCTTCTCCAGAGACGCGTTGTCCAAGGCCCTGTACACACGCCTGTTCGACTTCCTGGTTGATGTCAGTACACACACACACACACACACACACAACACACACACTTTGATTCCACATTCTTTATTGATTGTGTTTTATGGGACAGTGTATCAATAAAGCTATGGAGAAGGAGCAGGAGGATCTTACCATTGGAGTCCTCGACATCTACGGCTTTGAGATCTTTCAGGTACAAACACACACACACACACACACACACACACACACACACACACACACACGCTGTTTGACCAATGTGATTGTTTGTTTCAGAGAAACGGCTTTGAGCAGTTCTGCATCAACTTTGTGAACGAGAAGCTGCAGCAGATTTTCATTGAGCTCACACTGAAGGCAGAACAGGTGCTTCATTATGACATCACAGCATGACATCATCACATCACACCTTTGGTTCTCCCGTTAGAGACGTAGCTACAGCTGTGTGTGCTTTGTGTCTCTGCAGGAGGAGTACGTTCAGGAGGGGATCAAGTGGTCACCCATCGAGTACTTTAACAACAAAGTGGTCTGTGACCTGATTGAGTCCAAACTGGTGAGTTGACCAGTCAGTGAACAGGACTGATATATCCCATCATGCATTGCAGTTCAAAGATTTTTATGAGGCGTTTGACTCGACTGCTCTCAGATGGACAACAGGAGCTAGCAGCGTGAAGAAAGTGGATAAAGTTCATATTTGGAGCGTTTAGACTGAAATCTATGATCAGTTTAAATAGAGTCAAAGATGGTTAACGTTAGTGACGGTAGTTTGTCCTGATGAAGACAGACGAGAGACTGAAAAATATATTTTTTAAAGATTTAATCATTATTTAAAAAATCTAGATTTTTTTTTAGAATATTTAAAATGTAATAATTATAAAAAAAATCAATATTTAACATTTAATAATAAAAAATAAAAAAAATCAATATTTAACATTAAATCATTATTAAACTGCTTTATTAAAACACATTCAGTATCAGTTCATGTTGTTATTATTGATCCTCGGCTGTTGTTAAGCTGCACGTTTCAGTTGCGCCACCGGCGAGTAGCATCTGAGATGTTTTTGAATTGTGCTGAGTGAGTGCACTACATATAACTCATTAAACAGGGAGGAGGGAGTGATCTCTGTAACAGCCAAAGTTTTCTCTGCGACGGTTTCCCAGAATCCTCCTGGGCTGATGAGCATCCTTGACGACGTGTGTGCGACGATGCACGCTAAAGGTGAGGGGGCGGATCAGACGCTGCTGCAGAAGCTTCAGGGTCAAATCGGATCGCACGAACACTTCAGCAGCTGGAACAAAGGATTCATCATCCATCACTACGCCGGCAAGGTGCACACCTGTCTGTCTGCTCACCTGTCTCTCTGTCTGTCTGCTCACCTGTCTGTCTGTCTGTCTGTTCACCTGTCTGTCTGTTCACCTGTCTGTCTGTCTGTCTGCTCACCTGTCTGTCTGTTCACCTGTCTGTCTGTCTGTCTGCTCACCTGTCTGTCTGCTCACCTGTCTGTCTGTTCACCTGTCTCTCTGTCTGTCTGCTCACCTGTCTGTCTGTTCACCTGTCTGTCTGTCTGTCTGCTCACCTGTCTGTCTGTTCACCTGTCTGTCTGCTCACCTGTCTGTCTGTCTGTTCACCTGTCTGTCTGTTCACCTGTCTGTCTGCTCACCTGTCTGTCTGCTCACCTGTCTGTCTGTTCACCTGTCTGTCTGTTCACCTGTCTGTCTGCTCACCTGTCTGTCTGCTCACCTGTCTGTCTGTTCACCTGTCTCTCTGTCTGTCTGCTCACCTGTCTGTCTGTCTGCTCACCTGTCTGTCTGTCTGCTCACCTGTCTGTTCACCTGTCTGTTCACCTGTCTGTTCACCTGTCTGTCTGCTCACCTGTCTGTCTGTTCACCTGTCTGTCTGCTTACCTGTCTGTCTGTATCCAGGTGTCGTATGACGTCAGTGGTTTCTGTGAGAGGAACAGAGACGTGTTGTTTAATGACATCATCGAGTTGATGCAGAGCAGTGAGTTGTGAGTATTCACACCTCTCTTCACCTGTACTGAAGCTCCTCCCTCAGGGGGCGGACTACTCTGACGTCATGTGCATGCCCTCTAGCGTGAACTGAATCAATATGTATATATGGTAATAATGATGACCTCACACCTGTCTGTGTTGTATTTGTGGTTAGTCCGTTCATCAAAGCTCTGTTTCCTGAGAACCTGGAGGCGGAGAAGAAGGGGCGTCCAAGCACCGCCAGCAGTAAGATCAAGGTGAGAGAGATCAGCCAGAGCATACCACATGTTTTAAACCTGTAAACACACTACAGATCTTCAGATATATCACCAGAACAGAGAGATTGTTACGTCCCCCCCCCCTCTCTGTTTTAGAAACAAGCCAACAGTCTGGTGCAGACTCTGATGAAATGCACCCCCCACTACATCCGCTGCATCAAACCCAACGAGACCAAAAAGCCCAGAGACTGGGAGGAGACCCGGGTCAAACATCAGGTGGAGTACCTAGGTCTGAGAGAGAACATCAGAGTCCGCCGGGCTGGATACGCCTACAGACGAGTCTTCAACAAGTTCCTGCAGAGGTCAGAGGTCAAACTGTCCTCCTCACTGAGCGCATACATGCTAAGATAAGCTAACAGAGATGCTAACAGAGAGTACCTCTGCTGCAGGTACGCCATCCTGACCAAAGAGAGCTGGCCTAAGTGGAGGGGCGAGCAGCGTCAGGGAGTCCTGCACCTCCTGAAGTCGGTCCACATGGACCAGGACCAGTTCCAGCTCGGAAAGACCAAAGTGTTCATCAAAGCTCCAGAGTCGGTGAGAAACATTGGCACGGCTCAGGAAGATGGGTTTTGGGCTGTGAACCTGGTGTCATTGTAGACAGTAAACACCGGGGCGGCAGTAGCTCAGTCTGTAGGGACTTGGGTTGGGAATCAGAGGGTCGCTGGTTCAAGTCCCGGCACAGACCAAGTCCAGAAATTGGCCTGGTAGCTGGAGAGGTGCCAGTCCACTTCCTGAGCACTGCCGAGGTGCCCTTGAGCAAGGCACTTAACCCCCCCACCAGCCCAGGAGCGCCCACTTGTTTGTGCATGTGTGTGTATTTCGGCCTATGTTTGTGTAGCATGTTAACTAGACAGAGTGTAAAAAACGAATTTCCCCTCGCGGGATCAATAAAGTATACATTATTATTATAAACAGCTTTAGGTCTGATCCCACACAGATGCTAGTGACCAGAGGACATGACCAGGGGGATAGAATCACTTTATTTGAACCATTATCATCATCAACATCTTCAGTAACATCACCAGTAAGGTTGTAGGTGTTGATAAAGAGCTGGGTCTTTAGCTTTTTCTTAAAGGTGCAGAGGACTCTGCAGATCCAATGGAGTTTGGTAGTTCATTCCACTACCGGGGGGCGACAGAGGAGAAAGTCTAGTCAGAGACTTAGGACCCTGTTGTGAAGGTTGGATCAGACGCCTTTCATTGGCAGAGCGTAGTGGATGGGAGGGAGTGTAGACCTGGATCAGAGAGTTAAAGTAAGGAGGAGAGTTTTTGCCGCTGTTTTGTAAGCGAGCAGCAGAGTTTTTAAATTTGATGCGAGCAGTAACTGGGAGCCAGTGTAAGG